CTGGCAGGCTTGCACCTGGCACAGGCACCGTAGCCAGCCCGTGCCCCTTTAAGGGCTCCGGGGCCGGGAGGGGGGCAGAAGAGTTTCCCTGGCTTGGGCCAGAATGGCCACCAAGGCAAGCTGGGGAGGGCTAGCCTCCCACTAGTTCGAATTAACGGGCTACACAGCCCTTAATTCAAACTAGTTAATTCGAACTAGGCATTAGTCCTCGTACAATGAGGTTTACCTAGTTCGAATTAAGCGCTCCGCTAGTTCGAATTAAGTACGAACTAGCAGTTTGTATGTGTAGCAACTATTAAAGTTAATTCAAACTTACGGCTGTTAGTTCGAATTAACTTTGTAGTGTAGACATACCCGGAGTGGTTAAACACTGGGATAAGTTGCCTGGGGAGGTTGTGGAATCTCCATCACTGGAGATATTGAAGAGCAGGTTGGACAGACACCTGTCAGGGCTGATCTAGATGGTGCTTGGCCCTGCCGTGAGGACAGTAGACTTGACTTGACGTCCTTTCAGGTTTCCACCTAGTTCTATGCGTGTAGGATTACATTTCACCGAAGTCCTTGAGTTAAGCCCAGTGCAGTCTGAGAAATGAACACTTTTCTGCCTTCAGTAGACGGAAGAATTCTGTACCACATGCAGAGAACAGGAGAGATTAAGGCACCGTTAATGCTCCATACCCCTCGACAGCACAGAACGGACTAGTTGAGGGAGACCCAGCTGGTCCCAGCAGAAGGCTCTTTAGAAGAAAGCCTTGTTCCTATTTGGACCTTCCTCCCCTCCCCCATCTACACAACGTTTTGGGTAGAACTTCACGTGAAATCTTGAACCAAAGAAATGCATTTCTGGGCTGAAGAAGGATACTTCTGTGTTTGCACATGTGCACCCAGGACATACCAACCATGTGGTGGCTTTTTTAAATGACTCAAGAAAATTCAAATTGGAAGCGTTATTGAACCCAATCCTTTCTCAGAAAGAAAGACAGAAAGAAAGACAGACAGAAAGACAGAAAGACAGAAAGACAGAAGGGGGTCGTATCTTTCACTCAGCAGAAGTTGAAAATCAGACCCCAAATCTTTCAGCACCCGGCTCTCCCCGAAGCGCTGTCTGCAGGGGAGTGGATCCGTGTTTAGCCATTGAAAGTTTCACTCTGGTGATGAACCCCCTGGGGAAGTTTCTCAGAGGGCACAGGCAGGGGAGGAACGTTTCTCTCTGGCTTCAACTCCCAGGCACAGACCACCCTCCCTCCAGGCCCAAAGGCCACTGGCCCCCTCTGGGCACAGGCTGCATGGTTCTGTCTGTGTCGAACCTGCTTTGAACACACCCCAGAGCTGCCAGCCTGTCGCCTCTGGCCCCTACGTCGCAGGGTCCACCCCCGAGCCTGCCCCGTGGTGGGGCCTCTGGTGGCTGCTCCCCAGAGCTGCTGATGCAACGTGGAGATGGGGGAGGAGGGGTTGGCTCACTGTGAGATAATTAGGCAGCGTTGACGAAGCACCAGGCTGCTCCAGGCAGCGAAGGGACAGGAGCCCTCGGCTGCTCTAGACCATGCCGGGCTGTGACTATCCATCGAACCCAGCCCAGCCAGGATCCCCTCCCCGCACAAACCGGGATCAGCTCCAGAGCCGGGAAGGACTTTAGTCCCACATCCCTGGTACTTCCCCTCCCACCCAGCCTGTCCGCAGGGGTGCAGGGAGCCCGTCTCAGGAGCAGGTCCCCATCTGCCAGGGGCTGTCAGAAACCCAGCCATGCCAGGAGACAGGGAAGATGCACAAAGCAGAGAGGGACCAGGGCTGAGGACTCTGGACTTGTAAATGCCTCCCACGCCCGGACACCTCCCCAGGACCGGCCCGGTGAGTTTGGCGATGGGATGTGGGGAGGGGTTCACATGCTGGGTACATGGTGTGACTCTGTCTGGAAGGGGAGCTCGGGATGACCTACGATCGCACACCCGGCACAGCGCGGGGTGTCCTCTTCCCCAGCCAGGGCAAAATGGGCTTTTCGTGGAAATCGTGGAACCGATCGCACTCGGTCTCGTTCTGTGAAACGCCGGCAGCGTCAGCCGACAAGTGCGGAACACTCAGTTAGATTTATTAGAAACTGGGGACAGTTTTGGGTGAGGGGCAGCCTACACAGGAAGGACGGGCTCCACCTAAACCAGGGTGGATCCAGACTGCCGGCACTAAACATTAAGAAAGTCGTAGAGCAGTTTTTAAACTAAGAGCTGGGGGAAAGCCGATTGGTGTGGAGGAGCATGTGGATCGGACAGAGACGTCTCTTAGAGGAGAGTCCATTGATGGAGATTCTCTAGGTGTTAGTCGGAAAGAGAGGAGGGGAGATGATAAAGTATGGGCCAGATCAGACAAGAAACAGTCACATATACAAGAATCTAATACACCAGAGAAGGGCAGACAAATAAACAGTCGCAATTTAAAGTGGTCTGCACAAATGCTAGAAGTCTAAGTAATAAGATGGGTGAACTCGAGTACCTCGTATTAAAGGAGGAGTTTGACACAATAGGCATCACAGAAACCAGGTGGAATCAGGACAATCAGTGTGGGACACAATCATACCGGGCTATAAAATACATCAGAAGCACAGACCAGGTCGTGCGGGTGGCGGAGTGGCACTGTATGTGAAAGATAACGTAGAATCAAATGAAGTAAAAATCTTAAATTCATCAATATGTTCCATAGAATTGCTATGGATAGTAATTCCCTTCTCTGATAAGAAGATAGCAGTAGGGGTCTATTATCGACCACCTGACCAGGACAGCGATAGTGACGTTGAAATGCTGAGGGAGATTAGAGAGGCTATAAACATAAACAACTCAATAATAATGGGGGATTTCAATTATCCCCATATTGACCGTGTACATGTCACCTCCCGACGAGATGCTGAGATAAAATTTCTCGATGCCTTAAATGACTGCTCCTTGGAGCAGCTGGTACAGAAACTCACAAGAGGTGAGGCAATTCTCAATTTAGTCCTGAGTGGAGCACAGGATCTGGTCCACAAGGGAACTATTACAGGACCACTTGGGAGTAGTGACCATAATATAATAACATTTGCAAAATACAGGTCTATGTAGCACTTTAAAGACTAAGAAGATGGTTTATTAGGTGATGAGCTTTCGTGGGCCAGACCCACTTCCTCAGATCCTCAGATGTTACTATAATAACATTTAACATTCCTGTGGTGGGAAAAACACCTCAGCAGTCTAGCACTCTGACATTTAATTTCAAAAAGGGGAATTACACAAAAATGAGGTTAGTTAAATGGAAATTAAAAGGCACAATGACTAGAGCCAAATCCCTGCAAGCTGCATAGAAACTTTTTAAAGACACCATAATAGAGGCCCAACTTAAATGTATACCCCAAATTAAAAAACATAGCAAGAGACCTAAAAAAGAGTCCCCGTGGCTTAACCACCATGTAAAAGAAGCAGTGAGGGACAAAAAGGTATCTTTTAACAAGTGGAAGTCCAATCCTAGTGAGGTAAATAGAAAGGAACATAAACACTGTCAAATTAAGTGTAAAAATGTCATAAGAAAAGCTAAAAATGATTTTGAGGCACAGCTAGCTAAAAACCTCGAAAAGTAATAGCAAAATGTTTTCTAAGTCCACTAGAAGCAGGAAGCCTGCTAAAAAACCAGTGGGGTCCCTAGACGATCGAGATTCAAAAAGAGCAATCAAGGACGATAAAGCCATTGTGGAGAGACTAAATGATTTCGTTGCTTCAGTCTTCACGCCTGAGAATATGAGGGAGATTCCCAAACCTGCACCATTCTTTGTGGGTGATGAATCTGAGGAACTGCCCCGGACTGACGTGTCATTAGAGGACGTTTTGGAACAAATAGAAAAACTTAACTAACAAATCATCGGGACCGGATGGCATTCACCCAAGGGTTGTGAAAGAACTCAAATGAGAAATTGTGGAATTATTAACTGTGGTTTGTGACCTTTCCTTTAAATCAGTTTCTGGAAGACAGCTAACATAACGCCAATATTTAAAAAGGGCTCTAGAGACGACCCTGGCAATTATAGGCCAGTAAGTCTAATGTCAGTACCGGGCAAATTAGTTGAAACAATAGTAAAGAATAAAATTATCAGACACGAAGAAGAACATAATTTGTTGGGCCAAGTCAACATGGTTTCTGTAAAGGGAAATCATGTCTTACTAAGCTATTAGAGTTCTTTGAAGGGGTAAACAAATATGTGGACAAGGGGGATGCAGTAGATACAGTATACTTAGATTTTCAGAAAGCCTTTGACAAAGTCCCTCACCAAATAATGTAAATTAGGTTGTCGTGGGATACAAGAGAAGGTCCTTTCATGGATTGAGAACCGGTTAAAAGATAGGAAACTAAGGGCAGGAATAAATGGCACATTTTTATAATGGAGGAGGTAACTAGTGGTGTCCTCCAAGGGTCAGTCCTAGGACCAGTCCTATTCTACTTATTCATAAACGATCTAGAGAAAGGGGTGAACAGTGAGGTGGCAAAGTTTGCAGACGATACTAAACTGTTCAAGATAGTCAAGACCAAAGCAGACTGTGAAGAACTTCAAAAAGATCTCACCAAACTGAGTGATTGGGCAACACAATGGCAAATGAACTTTAACGTGGGTAAGTGTAAAGTAATGCACATTGGAAAAACTAACCCCAACTATACATACAATATAATAGGGGCTAATTTAGCTACAACTAATCAGGAAAGAGATCTGGGAGTGATCAAGGATAGTTCTCTGAAAACGGCCACGTAGTGTGCAGAGGCAGTCAAAACAGCAAATAGGATGCTACGAATTATTTAAAAAGAGATAGAAAATAAGACGAAGAATATCTCACTGCCCCTATATAAAATGACGGTATGCCTACATCTTGAATACTACGTACAGATGTGGTCTCCTCACCTCAAAAAAGACAATTAGGCATTAGAAAAGGATCAGAAAAGAGCAACTAAAATGATGAGGGGTTTGGAACGAATCCCCTATGAGGAGAGGCTAAAAGACTGGGACTTTTCCGTTTAGAAATGAGGAGACTGAAGAGGGATATGATAGAGGTCTATAAAATCACAAGAGGTATGGAGAAGATGAATGAAGAAAAGTTATTCACTTGTTCCCACAATAGAAGAACTAGAGGACACCAAAAGTAATTAATGGGGAGCAGATTTAAAATTAATAAATAAAATTCTTCTTCTCACTGTCAACCTGTGGAACTCCTTTCCGGAGGAGTCTCTAGGACTATAACACAGTTTAAAGAGAAGCTAGATAAATTCATGGAGGTTAGGTCCATAAAAGGCTATTAGCCAGGGCGGAAGGAATGCTGCCCCAGCCTCTGTTTGCCGAAGGCTGGAGAAGGATGGCAGGAGACAAATTGCTTGATTCTTCTCACCGGTCCACCCCCTCTGGGGCACCTGGTACTGGTCACTGTCAGCAGACAGGCTACTGGGCTGGATGGACCTTTGCTCTGACCTAGTATGGCCATTCTCATGATCTTCTGTTCTTATGATTTTATGAAAAAGCTGCAGAAACCTGTGGCCATAACGTTCCCCCGCTCCAGTGTCTGTGCCGAGTCGCCTCATGTGACGGTCCCCTCCCAGACACATGGGTCCCCAGGAAACCCCCTTTCCTTTGAAGAAATTTAAATGGGGCGACATGGCCCCCTCCTGCCATGAGACGTTGGGATTGAAGCTGGCCCGGGCACACTGAGATTCTCCAACAAGGGTCACAGCCGAAGGTTCGTGCCCGTAGGGGTTCCTCTCAGTCACAGCCATTGAGTTGGGATTTCACTTGACTCCCTGCTCCAACAGTATTTCAACCAGCCCCGTCCTGAGTCTCCCCCAGATCTTCGCAGGGGCAGTCGGACACAGCTCCAGGGACTGTTTAGGAGCCAGGCCCAGAGACACCAGGAGGTAACTCACTGCCCCTCGGGAGGAGCTGGGACGGGTGCTTGGCATGGGGGACACCCACCGCATGAGAGGTTGGTGCGGGAATCCAGGCTGTTCCATGTCTCACTCTGATCCCCACCCCTTCTGTGTCCTCTGCAGCCACCACACTGGGAACTGAGGAAGAAAATGTCCAACGGAAGCACCGTGACCGAGTTCCTGCTCCGGGGGTTCTCTGATGTCCGGGAGCTGCAGGTTTTGCACTTTGTGGTGTTTCTAGTGATGTACCTGGCAGCCCTGGTGGGGAACCTTCTCATCATCATAGCCATCGTCCTTAACCATCATCTTCACACCCCCATGTACTTCTTTCTGGGGAACCTGTCTGTCCTGGACCTTGGCTCCATCTCTGTCAGCGTCCCGAAATCCATGTTCAACTCCCTCTTGGACACCAGGTCGATTTCCTACACTGCTTGTGTTGCCCAAGTCTTTCTCTATGTCGTCTTCACAACAACTGATTTTGCTCTTCTCACCGTTATGGCCTACGATCGACACGTCGCCATCTGCCGGCCGCTGCACTATGAGAGAGTGATGAACAGGAGAGCTTGTATCCATATGGCCGTCAGTTCCTGGCTCGCTGCCATTGTCTACTCTGCCCTGCACACCGGGAACACCTTCCAGTTATCCTTCTGCCAGTCCAACGTCCTCAACCAGTTCTTCTGTGAAATCCCCCAGCTCCTCAAGCTGGCCTGCTCCAGCTCCTACTGTAGTGAAATTGGTGTTATTGGCTTTGGTGTCTTGTTATTTTTTACCTGCTTTCTCTTCATCATTGTGTCGTACGTCCAGATCTTCAGAGCGGTGCTGAGAATCCCCTCGGAGCAGGGCCGGCACAGAGCCTTCTCCACCTGCCTCCCCCACCTCACTGTGGTCTCCTTGTTCCTTTTCACTGTGTCCTTTGCCTACTTGAAGCCCTCCTCCAGCTCTCCGTCAGGAAAGCCCTCCTCCAGCTCTCCATCAGGCCTGGATCTCGCGATGGGTGTTCTCTACGCCGTGGTGCCTCCCATGCTGAATCCGGTCGTCTACAGCCTGAGGAACAAGGAGCTCAAAGCTGCCTTGAAGAAACTCTTTGTTTGGAGGTTATTCTCCAAGAACTGAAATGTCCTTCATTGGTTCTTGACTGTGATTTCCCCCTGTGTTTCCTTCTGATCATCTGGTCACCAAATAGCATCAATGAGACTGCAAGATGCAATTGGTTCATGAAGTAGGAAGATCCAGACTAAGCCCATTGAATGAAATCCTTGTTAGTTAGAGAGAGATCACTTCGGTGCGAGTGAGATCAGAGTCTACATGTGTTTCCATAAATCCTTCCACACATCTGTGGATTGTTTTATAAATTTACACTTGCAGACCCTGCATCCTACTCTGAGCGCAAGGCACCGAACCTCAACACCCAAATTACATCCCTAGAGAACCTGACGAAGTCGCCGCCTCTTCTCCTGGTTTTATGTTATTTTATGTAAAACTGCTGCCTGTGGAATAGGAGGTTTGGGTTGTGTTGGCTGGATGGTTTCTTCTTTTGTTTTCTTTCCGTTTGTTGATTGGTTGGTTGCTTTCCTGATTTGTTCCAGGTGATTTTACTGGGGGTAGGCATTCAGGAGGTTGGAATATGTCTGATCCAGGAGGGGTATCCATTGATTATTGATTTGGGATGCTGTCTCCTCCATTCTTGACTGGGATTTTTGGGGGGCTGAGAAGTTTTGCTTTTCCCGCTGAGGATGAGTTGGATAGATGTCTGTGTGTGAGGGAGGGACGTTCCTAGTCCCCACTCACACAGTTATGCGATTGTGGAAGGGACTGCTCTGTGCTATTTTAGATGTGGGAGGGGAGTTAGAGCCAGGTCTATGAATGAATAAACACAGTGTCATGCCTGTCCAGTGGAAAGATTGTTAGGAAGAGGAAGCTCTGGCCATGTCTCCTTCAGACACATTGAGGTCGGGTAATAAAACCAAGAGTGTGTCCCACCAAACTGTTGTTGTGTGTCACATTTTCTCAGCTGTTGCGCTTGGTTTTCCGTGTGGTGACCAAATTGTAGTGGACATGGGGGAGACTGGCTGGTCACTCAACTTCTCTGTGTTGGTGGCCCAGGCTGGTGGGGTAGGGAAGGGCGGTGCCGGAGCGGGGCAATCAGGTGAGTCTGCACGAAGAGAGGGGCAGGGTCATGGTGGGACCTGAGGGCCCAGATGTGGAGTTGCAACCTGGTTAGCCCAACAGTTGGAATTCAGACTTTCACTTGGATGGGTTCGTTTGGATTTGGCAAATGAAGCCTCTCAGGGCATGTCTACACTACCCTACTAGTTCGAACTAGGAGGGTAATGTAGGCATACCGCACTTGCTAATGAAGCCCGGGATTTGAATTTCCCGGGCTTCATTTGCATAAAGTGGGTGCCACCATTTTTAAATCCCTGCTCGTTCGAACCCCGTGCCACGCGGCACGAACTAGGTAGTTCGGACTAGGCTTCCTAGTCTGAACTACCATTACTCCTCGAGGGCCCAGACGTGCAGTTCTAACCGGGCATCCCCAAGAGTTGGGATTCAGCCTTTTACTTGGAAGGGTGGTTTGGATTTGGCCACAGGGGCTGAGCCACACAAGCATTTCAGTGAGTCTAGATCGCAGAGATGGGAGA